CATTGAAAACGTATTACAAAATGGGGAAAAAATGTTTGGTTTAAAATGGGGATTAAAGCTGCTAACTAACTGACTAGTATTTTGCAGCCAGCATATTTAAGTTGGCTTTAAAATCCCTTTGTTTAAAGGCTCCCACTTGATTGGTTGGGTCAAGGTCCCAGGACATCCCCGAGCCTACAAGGAGTCACAGGGGCGCTCAGGCACGTAGTCTCTGGTGAAAAAGCAGGGAAAGTCGTCTTCTTAATCTTAATTGCGCCACATTAGCACAATAAACCAAACGAATGGCCAAACATTATCATAAATAATAAGGCAGCTTGCTATGGCTCAATGCGCGGCAGGACATCCGTCGGAGGTCCTTCCACTTCCTCTTCCTCCTTTTCCCTTCCCTTCAGGGGGTCACAAAGTTTGGTTTTGGACCAGCACTAAAATATGAATAGTGTAATATTGCAATATTGTCCAAATGATCCGGCCACGCCCAGCGGAAATGAGATTCACACACACACATGTTCCACAAATGCCATAAATTGATGTTAATGCATTTTTGCATGTCCTTCGTCGCCTGGATATTGGAACTCCAGCCGTTGCCTTATTAAGTATTAATTCATAGTTCCGAATGCAATCAGTTTCCTTAATAATTCAGTAGAGGGGACTGGTAATCACAATAACATTCCAATCGAGACGGTCCGTTGCCTTTAATTGATGCAGGACATTCCCTTCGCCGGCTGCTCCTTCTTGATGGAGGATTTTAGTGAGATGGAGAATTCTGTGCGAGTGATGGTCTTCGGGGGGTGTGGCGCACATATGTGATTTTATTGGATCTCCGATAGTTGATTGATGAGTTCTGGAATACTTTGCGGGTAGGCGAGACTCTTTAATTGACCTGCGAGTTAGACAAATGTTGTAAGAGTCGACGAAGCGTAAAAAGCGGCGTGTAATTATTTGCAATCAAAGAAGCAAAACCTCAAACAAAATTGCAATTACCGCACTAAGAGCAAAGCAAATAATCCAAATGTGCTGTAGCAGACGGGTCCTGCACACACAAAACATCTAAAAATGACAATTCTAAGCATATAAATTATTGCCTTTTAACACCTTACACCCCCCAAGCCATTTTGCTGGTAGAGGTGGTGGTGGGTTTCGTCGTCCTACCTTGGACACCCTGCTGATATTCGTCCTGAAAGAAGTCAGGGTTGCTACATGAAAAACTATTAGCACTTTTAACGTTTAAGCGGATTAAGTGCAGCAGGAGCAGGCTCAGCCGAAGGACATTTAAGTGCGAGCAGCACCAGATTGTCGTCGTCCTTGTCGATGTTGCTGCCTTGCTGTTGCTGATGCTGTTGGTGTTGCTATTGCCGTTGGTGTTGCTGTTGCATGTCGCATGTGGTCGGGGCTTATGCCAGAAAGTGTCAAACAAAACTTTCAACAGCCTCCGACCCCCTCCAGTTCAGGCTCTTTACCAAATTCAACTAATTTGCCGGCACACAAACAACAACAAACAGCAGCTGCAGGAGCAACATAAAAAAGGGAAAACCAAAAGTAACCACAGTAAAGCAAATAAACAATGCATAAAAAAAAGAAACGGAAAATTGGGAAATGTGAAAATATGTGCGAGTGTCGGTGTAAGGCCGAGGGCGGAGTCTGCGGCGCCTGTTTACATTGCAAAAAGCATTGGAGTGCAGTGAAAACAACACACAAAACAACTAAGCACGGAAAAAAAACACATAGGCCTAAAAAAAGGATTATCCTTGACAGTAAAATCAATCGAATTTGAAGAATTCAACACCATTTTGGCAATATTCTACCTATTTGGCTAAATAAATAATATATTTTGAAAATAAATGTTTTTTTTCCAAGTGCAGAAACAACTTTCAGAGCCTGGAACAGATTGGCCATCGGTGGCATCATGCCTGCACGCATATACTGGCCGGACCTCGTCGAGGCATGCTTAATGCTATCAACACCATTACCGGTCGAGTGAGCGGCCCTCGAGCAGCCGTAACAGGACCCGGAAAAAAAGCCACCCCCACCCACCGCAGAAACACCAAACACCACAGGCCACCACCGTCTGCCGTCTACAGTCCGAAGTCCTGGTGGTCCTCTGTTGTCAATTCAATTCAATTGTTTTGCCTTTTTGCGCAAATGTCCTGCAATCACGGCGCGGCCTGTTTGTCAGCCGCTTGTTTATTTGTTTGTTTGTTTGTACGGAGGTCTGCCACTGAAAGCACCTCGCACCACCACACCACCAAATATCCCCGCCTCCTAGCGCATTCCCGAAATCTCAACTGTTGCCTGTTTGTAACGCACCCGCATGGTGACTTTCCAGCGATGGCAAAGTAAATCGAATCTGAATCGTAATCCGCTTCGATTGTCGGAGCAGCTGAGTGCACCGCCCAGCCACCCAGCCACCCTGTCCCTTTTGATGATGCAACCAATTCTGCGCTCAGGTGACCAATCTTAATGTTCAATATTGAATTTCAGACAAAAGGCCAAAGCGAATCAGTTGCCTGCAACTAATTGTAGAATGTTGTAATAACTGCAAGGAAGTCATGAGAGGCGGAAACTGCAGTGGCTGCAAAATTAATTTTGTTGGCAGCCAATAAATAAAACCTAAATGGATAAATGTGATGGCATTAAATAAAATATTCATTAAAATAAATTTATATATTCCTATAATTACTTCATATTATGCATAATTATATAAGTCTTCATTCTATAAAGAAAATTAACCAAAATCAAATATTTAAAATAAATTCTATTAGTTCTTAATCTTATTCAGAAGCCAAATGGAGCTTGCTTAATGGCTTTCAAGAATCTAAGATAATAAACTTATATATGGAAGCAAAACAAGCCAAAGATACCATAATTTAAGCAAAGTATTTAATAAAATCGTTTTAAATGGAATAAAAAATGTGTATTCAGATATGCAATCACTTGGAGTTCTTTAAATCGCCTCAAGGAAGCAGGCCAATATATTGGTGCTTGTATATAAAGCTTGTTCGTTTTACTCTGACCCCCAGCTTACTTATTTTCCACTAGACACAAGCCAGATTGCGTAATCGTTTTTCATCTTTCCCAGCTCCTCACCTGGACAATGCACGCCTCCCCTCCACTCACCTGTCCCCATTCCATTGGCCCACGGCATGCTGTGCTTGATGTTCGCATTTTCGAAAAACAAATTTATTTTCGAGCGCGCCCAATAAATTGAAACTGACTGACCCACCGGCTGAAAACCGCCTGTTGACCGTTGACTCCGTCCCCGTGGCTTCTATTTTCCATTTCCGCCTGACAGCCTCCTCCCACCATTTCCCCGAACTTTTCTGGGCTGGGGGATTATGTCTTTATGTGCATATTTTGAAATTTTATAACCTTTGCGCGTTCCGCGCTCGCTGACAGTTGGCGGGGGTGGACATTGGCGCGGACAGATTCCTGTTTTTCACTTTTCAGCCAGAATCGGCCATTACTTCTAATGAAGTCAAAAGCCCCATTGCTAGCCCGCTGTAACAACAGCAGAGCCAAACAGCTAAACGGAAACAGAGGCAAAAACCGAGACAAAAGACTAAAACCGGTGGCGTGGGGTGGGATGGAAAAATATTCAAATTAATTTCAGGACGCTGTTTCCCTCTTCCAGGCACCCGTGTCCCGTGACCCGTCGGCTGTTGTAAGTTCCTCGTTTGACCAGGTTGTTGTCGCCATATTTTGCGTGTCGTGCCGGCCACCGTTTTTAATCCTGACTTATGGACTGGACTCCATATTCGGTTTCGTCATCAGCGTAATATCCATGCAGTCCGGCGGCGTCTTTCTTTTAAAAGCTGACTCGGTTTTTACGTTTGTTAGGATGACCTGCGGGCCGGTGTCCTGGCGCTGTTGTCCTGGTGTTTAGTTTTAATTACACGCGAGCCTGCCCTCGCCGGTCACGCCTCGATGGCTTGATTTTCTAGTGTAATATGTGGTGTAATATGTGAAAAGTGACATCGTTCCACCAGGGGACAGTGCCACACGTAACTTTCACTCACAGAAATTAGCCCAGTGACAGTCGGGAGTTTGTCTTCCAGCCCGAAATGTTGCCAGGCCAACTCGAATGTTGCCAACATTTTTCCAATTCTGCAACATTTTTAATCGCCAAGCCGCAACCCCTCTTCGTTTTCGGAGTAAACTTCGGAGTGCCATTCGTGGCGAAAATATGACAGGGGTAGTTTTATTTTTTCTCTCTGCCAACATTTTTAGAGAGCCCCTTATAACCTGGTTTTTTTTAGGAGACCTCCAAGCGACAGGTGAAATCAAATGAAAATACGAGCTTTGATCAACGGATCATTGAGTAAAGGTGAGGAAGGGGTTGTATTTTTTATTGTCTAGGACTCAAGCTTTTGCAAATAAATTTTTGTGTTAGCTAGGACAACGAAAATACTTATACAATGAATTTCAATATTATATTAAAATATTATTTTGTTATTTAAGATTAGCAAAAACAAGACTCTTAACTAAGCCCATTTTCTAAGATTTCATAGCATACTTTTATGAGCCCGGCTAGTTTTTGAATCACACTATAGTGTGCACTAGAATGAAAGCCACTTTAAAGGACTTATTATTATAGAGATTTACCAACTATCATTATTATCTAAAAATTTACTATTTATTTTGAGAAAATATTATTTGACATGCATTAAAATTAAATTAAAATATTAATACAAATTCAAATGGCTCACAAGGTAAATATTTAGCAAGGCAACTTCATGTTTTTGTAAAAACAAAAAACTGGATATTAGTCCATAATTCCGTAATTCGCCGTGGCACACTTGGCCTGCGGCGAAAAGGTCCTGACAGGACCTCTCTGCTTGGCCTGCACTCTCTGCGAGAGCCTTTCGCTCTTCGCAGTTCGTGTGGCCTCGTCGTGGCAGAGCCGAGTGCCGCCGAGGGCATCCGAGGCACAACACGAAGGCACGAGTGCGGGGGCGCTTACAATCGACTATCGGCGGCGGGCTTCAGTTTCAGTTGAAAGTGAACCCTTCGACGCAGTTGACACGAATCGCGCGCGACTCGCGTCCACCGAGCAGGAAACTCAATCCAGAGACACTCAGCAGGAGCTGGCCAAGATTTCAAGCTAGTAGGACATCGGACAGAACAAGTATTCTGGCTGCAAAAGTGAGCCTAAAGTGCGTGATTAAAAGTGCTAGTGCAGAGTGGAATATACAGAGCAAAGCCCAAAAAAGCTAACTGAAAACAGGAAATAAAAAGTCCATAAAAAACACCATTAAGTGGCCAAAGTTACGGATAAACAAAGACACCTAACGATCGTTCATTCAGGCCCAGGTAATAATTTGCACCATATTAGTGAATGCTTTGGGGAGCTGGCTGTGTTGTTGTGTTCCTTCCGCCAAAATATTCAAATTGGCAGGCTTCCTTAGAATATAAGCGTGTACGTGCTGCAAGGACAAGACGCTGCCAGTGTTTACATTTTGGATTTTATGCGATAATACTCAACGCCATCAACAGCAGACGCTCTTTTGCTGCTTCTGCTGCTGGTGGCTCTTACGTTCTGGTTGGCCCTCGCGGGTGGTTCGTTGGTTCTCTGGCTCGGCGGTTGGGTGGCTGGGGGGCTAAATGGTTGACTGTGTGGTGTTGCTTGCCAGCTGCCAAATAAATACAGTAACAGCAACAATAACAAGGCGGGCAATAAAAGCCACCGCCAAGGGCTCAGACCGCAGAAGGCAGTCTTAGCCAAGAAGGGAGAGTAAAGTAAGCAAAGTAACAAAACCAATTTTCATTGTTTTGCGGTGGCTTTCCAGCTCGCACTTTTTGCGGGTGTGAAGAGGAGGTGGTGGCGCCTCAGCCCATGGAGCCGAAAAGTAAGAAACCAAAAAGTATAACAAAATTTCCATCAACATATAAACACCAAACACACACCCTACACACCCTACATACACTCTCACGTCGACTGGCAAAAAAAAAGAAAAAAATGTGCAAATGCCAACATGAAATGAAGTAGAACTTGGCATGTGGCGTCTTTAGTGGTGTGCGTGCTGGTGTACGAGTGTGTGTGAGCGGGAATGTTTTGTGAAAATGAGAAATGAAATATACACATGCAATGCCATTGTAGAGGAGCAGTATAAAAAAAAATCCGCCTTATTTAAATACTCCCAAGTATTCGGCAGAAACATATCCCAACACTCTCGCTCATTTGGGGAAAAGTTTCCCGGCATTTAGAAGAGGTAAGCCTAAGGAAGCTGTGTAAATTAGGATTCAGGCACACATAATCCATGGTTAGGATAATAGGGTTCCCGCCAGTATCACCCAGGCCCAGGGAAACCAATCCGGTAAGGTGGGGTAGGGAGAGCTTGAATTCTTTTTTGGCCCAATACGAGGCATAAATAAGTCGTTTGCAGCTGTTCGTCGGCATTTATTTGGCTGCCTGTTCAGGCCAGCACAATTGTTTTTGGCGTATTCCGACTACGACGTGTAGAGCAATTTGGTATGCTAAAATTTTGGGGGAGAATGGGCCCGAAAGGGCGAAGGACTCTAACCACACGTGGTTAGACTGCCGAGGAGGGGCGAAGACACGCGCTAGCTGCCATTTAATGCAATTGATTTGTGTTGCCTAATTCGGTTAGAAGCTTCTACCATTTCAATGCGGAGTGGCAACAGTGCACTTGGCGAAAAGTCTTCTAATACCATGTATCAAGTGGATTTTGATCACTAGGGTCACTGCCTAGAAGAAGGCCACTCAAAGTAAGAAATTTGATTAATTATTTTTGTCATCCTAGAGAAAGTCAAGGGAAGCTCCATCATGTGACTACTTGAGTCCAGAAACCACTTGAAAACAATTTGGCTTCTTTAGAGTACTTTGGCTATTGATCAAAATATATTTTTAGACTTTAATATCCATAATTTAAAGATTTTTAATCCAGGCCCAAAGATTGTACCTTTTTTTCCCGTGCAACTGCCAAAACACTTGCAAGACAAGACAGCCTATCAAGCAATTTGGCCCGAAATTGCCAGTTTTAATTCCATTATCATGGTGGGGCAAGGCCACTTCACTTGGCCCGCCAACATACCATACACACTCTCCCCACCCACAATCAATCCCCCCTTGTTTTCTGCTTCCTTTTCTGGGGGATTTCTGGTGGCCTCGCACACACGCACACGCCCCAAAAGTTGATTGATATTCAATTGGTAGGCTTTTCCAGCGATTCTGCCACTTCCACTTGCTCCGGTTTTTGCCTCTTTTGTTGGCCGCTTGCGGTTTGGATTTGCTGCTACACGATACGCTTTAATCTGCTCAGCAGCCCAAACGGGGAAGGCATGGGTGAACATATTGCGGGATTGGCTTTGGCCGCTTGGTCACGCCACAAGTTGTTGGCCCAGCTCCGGGTCCGGGTCCGTCTCCGTCTCTGTCTCTAACAATGTTTCCTTTTGGTTTTCTTTACTCCGGCCTTAAGCGCTTTAAGTAATTTATAAACGCCTTTCGACCAGCCGAAACAAAAGCAATAACAACTTTATTGGATTTGCTTTTCTGCCATGCACTTTGGCTCTCGTCTTACTAGCGTCTTCTCCATTGTCTGCCTTTGGCAGAAGTTGCGTTTTCTTTGAGTTTTCCTCTTGGTTTTTCTTGTGTTGTGTGTTAATTGAATGCGATTAGGCCAGAGTGCTTTTAGAGAGCGTGGCGGCAGGGCTGGTCGGAGGGCCGTTCGGTCGCTTGGTCGCTCGGTCGACAATTGCAGAAGATAAAATGTATCTAAGCCTGCTAACGAGCTATGCCCCACCGCCCGTTGTCAAGGTGAAGACGCACCAGCCGTCTCACTAAGTCCCCCCAGAATTTTCCTAAAGAAAAGCGGTCCCCAGCGGGAAAGCGACAATCGCCGGGATGGTGTTCATTGGAAATTCAATGCGGCCGCGATATCATTTACGGCATCGCCCATTAAAAGCCAGGAAACAGCCACGCCCCCCGGCTACCGACCGCCATCTAAAGATTCCGTGACCGCATTTTTAACATTTTAATTATTGCACGATGTAACGCGATATCAGAGTGTACTCATATTCCACGGTGAGGTTGGGGGCGACGGGAAAGATAAAACAGGAAAATCAATAGCTTTGGCGATGGCGTACACAGAAACGACAAAAATTGGGGGGGGCCAGCCGGAGAGGAGAGTACCTTTAAGGGCTCTTTTTCGGAAAATATTCGAATTCCTGATGGCATCTCAGCCATCCTACCTCAATTCAGGGGGCATTGAGTTGCCTTGCGGTCGGGGCACTTTTCTCAGTTTTTCCTGCCAATTTGCTCAATTTGTATTTCAAATCATGCCGGCAATTTAAATGCCTTGAGAACGTCTCGAAGGCGTAAGGACACACCCACGTCCCAGCTTCCCCAAAGAAACTATGCAGCGCTGTTGGCTTTTTTCCTATTTTTTTCGGGAGGCTTTCAAAGTGATATATATTACAAAAACGTGGTTTAAGTTCGGCACAAAGTGGCAGGAATTTCATGAATTTCATTTGAATTCGTAATTGGTTTTCCTTTTGCCCGGCATCATCGGCATCGGAGCTGTGAAGATGCTGCTGCCTCGGCATCGCTATTTCCAGCTGGCTTCGGCTGCCATTTTATTTATTTAAATTTCCGCCACTGCCTGTTTTTTACGAGTATTTGCCGGCACAGCCAACTCCACGGCCGAGTCCTAAGCGCAGTTTTGGTCCAATACTCTTGGCCAATTTAACTAACTCCAAGTTCATAGTTCGTTCGTTGGTCCTTGGCCCTCGGTACTCGGCTCTCGGTCGTTGGCATACATCTTGGGCGGTCTCAGCTTGTGAATAGTAAACTCCGATTGCTTCCACAGCCAACAGATACAAGATACGATATTCGCCTCCAAGTCGGGGCTTTTCCTCACGTTTTCCGCTAGCGCTGCATTATGTTGTTTCATTTTCGAAGGCGGCGCCACCCCAACGTTGTAGTTGTTGCAAAGTTTTTAATTAAATTTTATGTTGACTTTTGTATGTCTGTCCCACTCAGCTATGTTTCGTGCACAGAGAAAATAATTTTACTTATTTGATGTGTAAATAATAAAATACTTCAGAGCTAACAGCTATTCAGGCTTTTATAAATAATGTTTGTTGACAAAATAATAAAAATAATACTTTTGTGGATCAAAATTGATGACATTTTTGGCTCAGTGTGGATCTGTGCGCTTCGTTTCCGTAATATATGCCGCCTCTTGCTCCAGTTTACACACATTCTGCGCCCTGGATGCGCCTCCTTTACCATTTCCTGGCCCCTCCTGGCCACGTCAAGAAGAAGCCCTTCTGAGGCTGAGCCTCGACTGTCATTATTGCAATCTTTGTAAATGTTCAACGGCTTTACACAAAATATTTAGTATCCAGGCAGAAATTTGTGTACCAAAATATTTGCGTACAAATTTGTTTATTGAAAGCAGACAGGCAGTATCTGAAGATTCGAGAGGACCTAGTCGATGACTACGGCGGATGCTTGAAATGTTTGTCCAAGATCCCAAAATTGCCTGCTTTTCGGGCGGATTAAGTTTTGGTTGCTCTGCCCCTGGCTCTGGCACTGTCTCTGGCTCTATCTTTGGCTCAGCCTCTGACTCAAACTTTGCCTCAATTTGGGATCCATTAAAAAGTTCCTCGACACAGAGGCAGCTCTCTGATTGCCTGAATACTCACCGATAACTTTCATTAATTTGCCTTCAGAGCTTGGCCCACTTGGCTGTTTCCTAGAGCGCCCTGGCAAGCGTATCCCCAGAATGCATGGCACACATTAAAACTCTAATTATCTGCATTAGTAATGGCTTACGAGCGCTGGGCAAAAAATGAGAACATGATCTTGATAGAGCGCAACGCTAATGGAACCAGGAGCGTACTCGGCAAGTTAATGTGAGTTTTGGGCGAATTTTCAGAGGCACAAAAAGAAAGGAATCTGCTCCACTTTAAATTCTGAACTGAGTTCAAGCTGAGTTGAACCCTCGAGCCACCGTTGTGCGCCATTTTCACGCCCAATTTCAAGTAATTTTTCATTGCCATAGCCAAGGTTTTTACTAATTACTCGGGGCCGGGAAGCTCCCTTGAAAAAACTTTGCTTGTAATTTAACAAATCATTGCAAGGGTTACACATTTCACTCACTTTGACGCCGGCAGCTGCTGGGGGGAAAATTGCTCGCGAAGGAAGTATCCTTTCTTGCTCTTCGAAAGGGTCCTTTCTTCTTTGGAATTTTCGCCCGGCTTTTCGGTCTTTTCGTCCCTTTCAGTCTTTTCCCGCTGTTTGCATTTCTAAATGTGCAAATAAATGTATTCAAAATGTGTGCCATTGC